AAAACACAGCCAAGACAAGTTACTTTGTACAGACCAAAGGTCACCTTTATGTTATTTGATACTGTTGCGTCATCGAGGTTACGTGATGCTAGTAACACGTCATATTCTCGAAGCTTCGTGAATCCTCGTGAGGTTACTAGACTTCGGTATTCTTTTATATATAAGACGGTCAAGACGTGACGGCAAGAAGGTAATGTGTGTATAGACAGTTAGTAATTGATCTGCAGTCAGAAGTATTATTGAGCACGTTCGTTGTTATAGCGTTTGTTTAGCGCGATTGTTGAAGTTGAGTGTATCGGTAAAGTTGTATTCGGAAAGAATAAACCAGTTTTATTAAGTAAAGACTTGTGTCGTTAAAATTTCGTCGGAACGAAGTTACGGAAAAATCAATTAACAAACGGAGACGTAACAATACAATAACATGTAACTTCTACATTGTTAGCCAGGCACGAGTGAAAGGTCAATATAATAAAAATAATAAATATATATTAATTTATAACGTTATGAGATTTAAACGATTTCATCTAAACATTTATGTTTTGGGGTTATAATTAGTGTTCATTCTAGAATGAAAGAGGCATAATTTATGTTTGTTTCCTAATTTTTTATGGTGGTTGCGAAATTGGTCAAATCTACCGAACCTGTACAGAGATTTGTTAGTGAAAATAACAGAAAAAATATAAAGTTTTTCTTAAGAACTCTTTGATAACTATCTGGACATTATAAAGATTTCGCATGTGAAATTTCAAAAGATTCTGATGCATAAAAGCATTTTTAATCTTAAAATGAAAATTACTTTGCATGATAGATTGGCAAGATGGGAAAAAATAAGGCATGAAAGAAACATTGCTTTACAAACCTTAAGACTTAATAAAAAAATTAGATATTTTGCATATGAAAGCATTGTAATGTTTACTGATAATCTGCCAAATTTCCTTAACATTTGCTTACTAATTTAAAAGTTAAAGCATGAAAACTTAAACAAGCACAAAATGGTTACCAGGTTGCCCCCAAGGGCTGAGCCCGTGCTGAAAGAGTTAAGAAATACATGAGATGTAAAATCTCCAATCTTTATTGAATTTTTCCTCTTTTTTTTCTTCATATCAAAGTTATGGAAACTTTATTTGATAGAAAAACATAATTAACTTTTATGGATGTTTTTAAAACTTGGTACACTGATAGATATTTACAACCTACTATTAGGTGTCAAATAAAAGCCACAAGTGGAAAGTTATTTAACAAAAACCACTCAAATTTGACCACAATTTTTGCACATGTTTATGCAAAAAAGTCACGAGCTATCTAGTGTTACCATCAGATGTCCACCCATCACGACTGTTAACTGCTTCTAAATTTACTACCTGGTTCTTAAAAAAAAGTTATACAAAGTTTAAGTGAAAGTAATGCAAAGTTTGTTAAATAAAATTGTGAAATGTTAAAATGTGTTGACTTGTGTTTCATAAATATCTACATCTTCAGTCATTTTTCTCCTTGTTTTTAATTTTCCTTGGTACATCTTGTTCTCACTGGCAAATTTTCAGTGCTTAGTAAAACCCTCACAGTGTCTCTTCAATGCTACTTTTGTCACTATCATACACATACATAGCTACAAGCCACATTCAATTCCTAGCCTACATTACACCTTGTGTATCATTGGCTTTTGCATATAAACTATCACCCCATGAATGCATTTAGTAATGGACTCTTCCACATTGAAAACTGTACAAACTGTGATAACTCCAAAATCATCTGTGACACATGAATGGCTTATGAATTTGATTAGTCAAAAAGACTGCCATTTTTGAAACTGTTACAATAATTAATTTCCATCACATAACCTGTTGCAGGGGTTTTCCAAGAAATTTGGCAGCTTGCCCAGCTGTGTGAATTTACAAGCTTTTTTCAAAACTAGGCTAAAAAGGATATCTGTTGTACACAATGATTAATGACACACACACACAGAAACATTGGGAAGTTGGGTCGAGCTCTGTCAAAGGCACATATTTTAACATAGGGATAAATAACATTTCTGAGTTTAAGTCAAGGGCAAGACTATATCCAAATGTGAAGGTTGAGCATGTTTATTAAGGACTGATCTTGGGACAGACAAAGTCACAAAGATCCCTTTCTTTTCTGTCCTAGAGGGCCTGCACATTGTGGTAGATATATTGCCTTAATGAAAGATTGAATGTTCGATCGAGGGGGCAAAGGTTTAAATTTAAAACAGGTATGGATAACCTCTTATGCTACACGCTACTTGCCCACACTGAGGTATGTGGCTTCTATAGTGCCTTCATTGAAAGGTTTGTCTTAGAGGTTAATATTTTAAAAGTTAATGACTTCTTCTTTAGACAACTTCTTTAATGAATTGTTACAAAAAAAAAGGAATTTAGTGACAGATATGGAACAGGTTCACTGTCTGGAATCATTCTTCTTGGAATGGGTAGGACTAATTACTTAGAGTGGATGCAAATAATGGTCAGGTGATGGAGGCAAATGGTGTATTCCACAAAAATCATTGCAGTGACTAGTTTTTTGATTTATTACAGGAAGAACCTTGCTCAAGACATTGAAACCACAAAAAGCAATATACCATGCATTATATACTAACACTAAAGGGGAGTTATTTTCACAAAATTTTCACTGGACACTTTGACATTATCCTCTAGATTTTTGATTTAATAGTACCCCAAAAAATTCAACATCCAAATTTTTTGTCAGTATCTTCTTTAACTTTGAATTATGCATGTTTTTGGTGATTTTTTTTAGCAATCTTAAGTCTCTCATCACATATTAAATGGCTTCTAAAAAAAAAGCCGAGTGTGGAACTATTTTGAATTGATCCATCTGTTCAACATCCCTTGTATTTTCTGGTGGCAACACTTCATCTTTGTTAAAACATTTAACTGCTAAACATTCTAAAAAATTAAGGAAGACAATGCCAGACATTCAGGTTTAAAACAAACCAATGTAGGAGATTTTTTCAAGCATATAGAAAGTCGACCATGCTCAACTCAACGTAAAGGGGAAATAACACACTTGTTGTGTGGAATTATTTATCAGGATTTGATTACCATTTATCAATGGTAAGTAGTTATTTCTTTTGAAAGTTTTTGAACTTCATGGAACCAAACTATTGTGTTCCAATCAATATACAATTTACAAAAATATTGTTCGCTTTTACAATGTTAAGTGCAATGAAATAAGGAATGAGTTATGGAGCCTTCCAGTACTTTCCTATATAACTGATCATTGGATATCAGCAACAAACGATGTATAACTTGCAGTCACAGTGCACGATATGACTACAGAGTTGGAGATCAAGTCTTTTAACTTGGGAATGAATGTGATTGTCCGAATGCCAAACTACAAAAAATATTTCCAGAAACGGTGGCAGATGATTGGAGAATTCAAGACATATTCACACGTGTAACATCAGTAATGTCTGGAATGGATTCTTACAGTGTACCATGTTTTGCACATACAATTCAACTAGCAATTAATACAGGACTAAAAACTAGAACATGCTAGCTACTGCATGTTCTTTGGCTGGCTTTTTTCACAAATCCTACCTGACACGGGTTTTGCTTCATGAAAAGCAAAAAGAGAAGGACCTGTTCACTTCACCACTCAAGCCAATACAGAACATAACACAATGGAACTCAAGATGTCTAATGCTGAAGAAGCTTATTCAGTTGGAAAGATACCATTGTCCAGGCTACTGAGGCCCCAGGGTTAGGAACTGATCAAAGATACTACCAGCCAAGAATCTTTGTGATGATGAATGGTATTTGGCAAGAGAACTTATGAATATTTTGGAGCCCTTGGCTCAAGCAACAGAAATTTGGTCTGGGGAAAGTCATGCATGTATTTCCATCACTTTTCACATTCTCAATGGACTGATGGACTAAATCCATCAGAGGATGTTTTACCAGTCCTTAACAACTTTAAAACAATTGCTTTAAATCAGTTCAAGTAGCGATTTGGCTTTGAGGATACCACCTTGGGGGAAAAGGTTCCTATAACTGCAAGAGCCCTCAATCACAGGTTTAAGGAGTTGGCATTCTTTCTTGCCAAAATAAGAGAAAAGGCTTTCGGGGAAATAGAATGCCTCGTGAAGAAGTACTCTCCTGCAGCAGAAGACTGTAAGGGACAAGAGGACACAGAAAGTCAACCCAAAAAAAGTTGGACTGTTTTGGAAAAAAGTTTTTCAAGAGACTAGCAACACAGGTGCACTCCTGACTAACACTGAGGTTAGTCAGTACCATGAACAAAGGCAACAGGCCCCCAATATAGATCCTCTTGCATGGTGGAAGGGAAAACGAATTTCCTCAATTAGTTGTGCTCACTTGTATTGTGCCTTCAGAGTGACTTTTTTTTTCAGCTGGTGAACTTCTGTCCAAGAAAAGACTTAGGATGAAACCTCAACAGACAGATAAACTATTAGTAAGTCATTGATCTATAAGTTTAACAGTGTACAAAAAATCCTCGAGTACCATGTAAATCAAGTTATTCAACCATTCATTATACTCTCAAAATTTGCTTATACCATATAATTTTTACCTCAATTAAGTAGGCAGCAATTTTTGAATAGTCCATTTTAAATTTTTCTTTGTTAAATGATAATCGGCTGATTCACCAGATGCAGTCGGTTTGTGGTTACCACCATTTTGTATTGCAGCACAATCAATATTCTAGAACAGAAATGAGACCTATCACTCATTGGAAACTTTCAAACCTGATGACTGTGTGATTTGTAATAGTAAATACCGTAAATTATTGCATCAAAATAAATATGATCTTCCAAAAGTTTCTACATTTTTGAGGACCACTGAATGCACTTGTGTTATCAGAAAAGTTAGCACAATCAAGAAGCAGAGCTTACCTCAAATATTTCGATGACAAAACTTTGATAGTTCCCAATTAAGATTAGTATGCGAGTTTTACTTAAATCGCAGTGAAGTGAAACAATGACTCTATAGCAATGATCACCACATCCTAATACCTTGAATTATGATGAACAGCAACTAGCTACAGTTGAAACAAGTTAAACTAGTTATAGTAAACTCTCAATGTGTATTATAATAAAAGGAAGCTGTAGATGCCATAACATCTGTACATACAACCTAAGTGTTGTTGTCATGCACAAATATTGCCTGCACGGCGTGGGTATTGTGTAATGACAGTCAGCCAGGGTAAACCATTAAATAATACTTTCTTTCATTACCAGTTACCATTATCAATAAGTTAATAGTATCTAATCAAAGAAACAGTTGGAAGCCTTATACGTTGATATTAATTTCATGACCACTAAATAGGTGCTCATTACTAATTGGTGAAAAGTTAAAAAAATGGAGAGATGTTTGTTTGAATTTGTTTCAGTACCTCATGTAGAATAGTGATAATACATACAGTAGTCTATACTTTGCAGGTCTATGCTATATTATACACGATGGTCACAAAAAGTTTCGTGGTTAACATCATTTTCATCTTTCCTTTATAATTATATCATTTACTGTTTTCTTTTACTATTTCACACAAGCATCCTAACCTTTTATTATTAGAAGTTTTAGATATGCTTTTAACAGAAAAATGAAAACAACATTATACACGAAGTAAACTAAAACTGTGTGGTTCATATTGTCTTGTCTTCAGCATGTTAGAAACTGTTGTGTTGATATTGGTCGGAAAGTAATGGGTAATTCAGGCGGGTATCCGGGTAGAATTTTTTGGTACCTGTTCAAACACTAGAGCTATTGGTCTAAAATTTTACCATAGCTTCACCTAAAAGTAAAAGTGGACCATTTTTAGTTTTCTGTCATTCTGATTAAAGATGGTTGATTTAGATGTTGACTTTGATTTAAATATAAGCCACCTGCACAAAATTATTCAACAAAAACAGCTCAGTTTTGACCAAAACTTTTGCGCGTGCCAACGCAAAATGTCACATGAGCTATTAGTATCAAATTCTTACTACAGCTTCATCTAAGAGTAAAAGTTGACCAGATTAAAGATGGCTGATTTAGGGCAGCAAAACTATAGCGTGAAGGCACATTTAGATACACAAGTATTTGTTATGCCAAACAAACTAGATTAGCAGTCTCTGGCTCAAGTTTTCAAAAGAATCACACAAGTGGACGGTTATTATTTGTTGCCAAATTTTAGGCACAAATTTGCTACATTTTATGCAATTCTCCTAATTAAAGAGCATTTTAAAATCACATGATATTATGTTAAGCAATTAGCATGAATAATGATACTTTATGCGGCTTTACCGATTGCATATGGGTGATGACATGAAACTGTTAATCTAGATTCCATGACATTACTATAAAGAAAGCTAACTGTTCAGAAAGGAAAAACTACCAACATATATTTTAAAGAATTTGGTTGGTTCTGTAAAGTATAGGTTCATTCCAAATAATAGGGTTGTGATCCTAGAGCTAATATTGGTTAATATCGAGTGGCACTTTCTTCCTTTCTGTGGTTTGTTGGTGTGTACTGACAAAAAGTCAACTCACAAACAAAATTGATACTAACAAACCCAACAACAGAACATTACACTGCAGTTTACCTTTTGTCCCTGAAACCAGCTCAAGAATTATACACACTAGCCATTAAACACAGTATTCCTGTCAACGTCAAATTCTCTCAAAAACCCGGCCCTAAATTAAAATCATTACTAAACAAAAAGTATTTAGAAACACACAATACCAACATCATTTACAAAATAACATGCAATAACTGCCCAGAATTCTGCATCGGAGAAACAGAAAGAAAATTAGAAACCAGATTCACAAAACACAATAAAAGACCATCCCATGTTTTCCACAATTGCAACCAAACATAAACAAACGAAAAATCAAGGAATCCATCTTAAT